CCCTTAGTGCTCGGGCCTGGCCGGGTGGGGGTTCCCCTGACGCCTCCTCCGGCCCTTCCCCTCGCACACCCCCTTCCCGTCATCCCCTCGGTCCTCCTCTCCAGTCCCTGGCCAACGCCAGGTACGCAGCCGTCTCCTGCCCTCGTCCCACACACCTTCTCGCCCTCGCTTCATCCCATTCGTCTGCCCTCACTCTCTTGCCACATGATGCACCCCAGCCCTCCCCACACTTGTCTCCATCCCTCTTCCCGCCTGCTGAGCCCCATTTTTTGACCCTCTGACCAATGCAGATGATCTAGCCCAGGAGATGGAAGATGTGGACTTTGAGGAAGAGGAGGAAGAGGAAGAGGGCAACGAGGAGGGCTGGGTTCTGGAACCCCAGGAAGGGGTGGTGGGCAGCATGGAGGGCCCAGACGACAGCGAGGTCACCTTTGCATTGCACTCAGGTAGGTCTCTGTGGAGATCCGTCCTACACTCAGGCCGGGCGGGCATCTGAGCATCCAATCCTGAGGGAACCGCTGGCCCTGGTCTGGAGGAACTCGCTGGTAGGGGGCAGTGTGGTGGCGTGGCGGGGAGCCTGGCCCCTGGAGTCAGCTGAGAAACCTGTGTTCAAATCTTACCACTGCTCCTTACCAATTTACGACCTGTATTAATCTCCCTGGGTCTTAGTTTTCTTTTAAAACGTTACTTTGGTGTAAGTTACACTGAGCATATTTTATGTAATCCTCAAATGTGATCTCTTAATAAGGAGCCAGTAGCACGATGTTCTCCTCCCTCTGTTTGTACCCAGCCTGGTGGCATCCCATGGGGAGAGCTGTAAGCCCTGCACGTACACTTTCCTGTTGTCCATGGCATCCGTGTGGGGTGGTGAAGGGTGCAGCATCCTAAGGGGGAATCTGCTCTGGAGAAGGATTTGGAGCGTGGCGAGCTTGGGGAGGGGTTTCTCCAACCATCTGATGCTTGAAACTTAGAAGGAACTTGGATGCATCCTTCTTTTCCAGGAGGAAAGACGTGCTTCTTTGGGTGGAAGGGGGTAGGCTTCCTGCCGGTCCCGAAGGACAGAACCCTAGGTGGGAGCCCCATCCCCTTACTTGTGAAATATCTTTTGGGACAGCGTCTGTGTTTTGTGTGAGCCTGGACCCCAAGACCAACGCACTGGCGGTGACGGGGGGTGAAGATGACAAAGCCTTCGTGTGGAGGCTCAGCGATGGGGAGCTGCTCTTTGAGTGTGCAGGTGAGGGGGCCCCGCTGAGGTCGTGTCCCTTTGGAAGTCTTCCGGGGCTAGCCTGCAGCAGTTGTGCATCTAACAGCCATTTATTGACTCTGAAGAGGAATAGCATAGTCTGTTGTGGATATAGGGGAGGGAGGCACTAATTGGGCAAGGGAGTCTGGGAAAGGCTTGAGAGGAGGAGACACAGGCTGACGTAGGGGTATTTGGGAAGAGGGAAGGGTGTGGGTATTCTAGGCAGAGGTGCAGAATGGACAAAAGTGTAAAACCTAGGCCTAGGCTACATGTGGTTGAGTGGAGGGCCAGCATTGTCTTCCGTGGGGAGACCTGGGTGTGTTGATTCCTGCAACTACAATGAATTTGGTCACCTATTCTGCTGGGATCCACTCTTGTTTTCTCTCAGCTGGTCCTTTCAGAGGCCAGATACCTGGGTCATGTGCCCCCAGCACTAGGTGCCCTGATGTTCTCTTTCTGGTTTTTTTTTTTTGAAGGCCATAAGGACTCTGTGACTTGTGCTGGTTTCAGCCATGACTCTACCCTAGTGGCCACAGGGGACATGAGTGGCCTCTTGAAAGTGTGGCAGGTGGACACCAAGGAGGAGGTCTGGTCCTTTGAAGCAGGAGACCTGGAGGTGATTAGAGTGGATTCAACTCAGGGGCCTTGGTTGGTAGTGGGTGAAAGCTTGGAGCTTCGCCTCCACCTTTACTAGACCAAGCCATCTCTAAGCCAGTGCACTCTCAAGGTACCGCAAGAATATCTGTGCCTGTTACCTAGACTGTCCCCCCTGACTCAGAAGCAGGGGCAGCTTGGTGGGGCTCAGAAGACGGGTTCCTAGGTGGGATGGGGTGATGGGCCTCCCTGCTGACTCTCCCTCTCTGTCCAGTGGATGGAGTGGCACCCTCGGGCACCTATCCTACTGGCGGGCACTGCTGATGGCAACACCTGGATGTGGAAGGTCCCCAGTGGTGACTGCAAGACCTTCCAGGGTCCCAACTGCCCAGCCACCTGTGGCCGAGTCCTTCCTGATGGTGAGATAAGCTCCCCCGAGTGTCCTTTCTGGAGTGCAGAGAGGTTGGGCGCAAGGCTCAGAGTGCGGGCTCAGCAGCACTGACCTCATAGGCCCCGAAGCAGTCAGCTCCCTCTTTTCCACCCTGAACTGAGTCTCCTCTGCTGGGTCCTGGGTAGTGTTTGTTCCCTCACTTTCTTGTCTCCCTCTCTTGGCTCCCACCCATACCCCCAATTCCCTTGTTGGGTATGTCTGAATGTGTGGTCTGTCCTTCTCTCTTCATCTGTACTTTTGGCCCTTTAGGGAAGAGAGCTGTGGTCGGCTATGAAGATGGCACCATCAGGATTTGGGACCTGAAGCAGGGAAACCCTATCCATGTACTAAAAGGTATCAGAGTTGGGGGAAGTGTTACCCTTGGCCTTTGTGGGGGAGGGGTTAAGACCTGGGACAGGACTCAGGGGACAGGGTGAAGTCTAACATCCCTTTGCTCCATCCTAGGGACTGAGGGTCACCAGGGCCCTCTGACCTGTGTTGCCACCAACCAGGATGGCAGCCTGATCCTAACTGGCTCTGTGGATTGCCAGGCCAAGTTGGTCAGTGCCACCACCGGCAAGGTGAGTGGGACCTGAAGCCTTGCTGTGGAGCCTTCCGCTCTTCTCCCCTCCCTTTCTTATCCTTCACTCAACCTCCCTGCCTCTCCACCTTCCTTCTCTATTAGAGGACCATGTTTCTAGGACCTTCTCTGATGCTTTCCTCTGGCTCATAGGTGGTGGGTGTTTTCAGGCCTGAGTCTGTGGCCTCCCAGCCCAACCTGGGAGAAGGGGAGGAGAGCGAGTCCAACTCAGTGGAATCCTTGGGCTTCTGCAGTGTGTGAGTGTGAGCTAAGGCTTAGGCCTGGAGGCCGCCTGGAGATGAGAGGGACTGCGCTTGGGGAGGGGCCTGGGCGGGGAGACCAGGAAGGAACGAAGGGCATGTGGCCCAGGTCCCTCTGTGAGCTTTGTGGTGCTCCCCTCTACCCAGGATGCCTCTGGCAGCTGTTGGCTACCTGGATGGGACCTTGGCCATCTATGACCTGTCTACGCAGACCCTCAGGCACCAATGTCAGCACCAGGTACAGGCACCCGTGGGGAGGCCCAGGCCTCTGTCAGCATCCACCCCAGACCTGGCTCCTGCTTGGTCCTGTCTATGGTCCATGTTCCCACCCTCCCTCCCTGAGATGCCTCCTAGCTCTCCTCCTCTCACCTCCACCTTGCCTCTTGTACCCGTGCAGTCGGGCATCGTGCAGCTGCTGTGGGAGGCGGGCACCGCCGTGGTTTACACTTGTAGCCTGGATGGCATCGTGCGCCTCTGGGATGCTCGGACTGGCCGCCTGCTGACTGACTACCGGGGCCACACGGCTGAGATCTTGGACTTTGCCCTCAGCAAGTAAGTGAAATGGGCAAGGGCTGGAGTCTCTGTATTTGGAAAGCGGGGGTAGCATGTGGAGGGCCACAGGGACCTGGGGGTATGGCGGGGCTTCCTGAGGGAAGCTGGGACCCAAGGCCTGGTTGTGGCTTTGGAGGCAGGAATGCTGGGAAGCCTGAGAGAGTTGCCCTTCTGTTTGACAGTGACTTGCTGGGTCTCATGTCAGTCCCGGGGCTGAGGGGCTGGGACTGCTTCCCCCATGTTGTGGTTCCTCTCATTCCCTCGCTGACTGCTGGCTTCACTGGCTTCACATGTGTTCATTCGACACGGGTGTGTCAGCTTGGTGCTAGGCACCTAGGGCATAGAATTGATGTGCTGGAGAGGGGT